TTAGTGGGGAATGTATGGCATTGTTTGCCGAGGGGTATGGCAGGGAAGACTATAGTTTCGGATCACGCCACTGATCCTCATCAGTTCCCTTAGTTTTTTGTTGGGATATTCTCCCCAGAAGCTATTGCTTCTATACAAAAAACCTTTCATACCCAAATGTCTCTTGTAACAAAGCGAAGTACTTAGCTGACCAACGACATAAACTGCATGAGAATTTCGCTGGAGCCTCACTTCGAGGTTAACAAGGCATTTACAAACAATACCACACCTTTCCCACTGTTGTGTGTTGTCACATCGCGACAAATGCACACAACGACTTTGTTGGTGTTGCTAGTATACAGCAACAAACCAAACAGTTCAACCGTGCCTGCGTCTACAATGCTAGTTTAAACACAGAAGAATGCGCTTCTTCTGTCATTTTGTCTGTATTTAAACTATTTTAGGGATTTTCCTTCATTTTGGGAATTCAGCATTTCTGTTTCGCCAACTACCACACTTCTTTTGATAGTCGTCTTGCTCATTCTCATTTTTTATTATTGCAAATAGAATTTTCCCTTTATTTTTCTGAAAAATGCCTTGAAGAAAGTTCAAGGATAAGTACGAAAATTAACCCCCACACATTCATATAAACAAACCCTTTTTTTCTTATTTTATGTGGAAAATTTGCAAAAGTTTTTCGTTGTTCTTATGTAGGGAAGTATTTCTATGGGGAAATACTTAATAATTTCGATTATATTAAATGCTGTAAGTTGAAGAAGAAAACAAAAATACACAGGAAATATTTAAACTCAGATATTTGAAATTGTTTTCTATTGTAAAGAGATATGATGTTGGAAATATAGAGATGAGGGAAATATATATGGGACAGATATGCTTATTACGGTTACGACTTTTTTAATTGTTTTCTCAAAAATGATATTCTGTATGGAAGAGGTGTATATTCTGATGTATAATTTGAAGCAAAGGATAATTTGTACTGCAAAAATCTTTTCTGCATAATTGAAATATTAACATCCTTTCATTCCACTTCCCTTTTAATCAATGCTTTATTGAAAGGATAAATCAGCGAAAAAAGGAATTGAATGAAGTATGTAAACTTAATGAAGTCTTAATAATATGACGCAGCTGTATTAATGTATTGGAATCAATAAACATACATACAAAGCAATTCAAGTATTTTTTCAACTTTTAAATGTACAAATATTTAAACTTTTTATGCAAGGAGTAAAATTTTTTCTTGAAAAAAGAAAAAAAATAAGTATATAAAAAAGTTGATGTAGGAAGACATGCATCTTAGGAGTGTATAAAGTTCGATATTTTGTATGTAACAATACTCCACACTTCAAATAAAATCATCGAAAATTGTGGCATATATGTAGATATACTACGTGAAAGGGTCCTAAAAAAGGCTGGCAAAAGGAGTGTTCAAAATTCGGACGGGATGGCGCCGGCTTTATGCTACCTACTTACGTCTCTCTTGATGGAACAGATATAGCATCTTTAAGGGACTACTGACATGGAATCGTACGAAATTATATATGTAAAATTAATCGATGCAAAATGTCATGTCAATCGGGCATTGATGCACCATTTGTATAAAATCGAGGAAAATTATGTATGAGAGCTACAGTAAATCTGGTCCAATTTAAAGACATGCGTGCTGTCCAAGAGTTCATCGAACAAACGTTGGGTATTTACTGCGCAATTTCATGAAATCACACGAAAGTATATTTGGGAGTCATATCCACAACTACGTCAATCTGTATTTACATTTATACTAACCTAACCACTAAAGGTTCGTACCCCAAGTTCAAATATTCAAATTTCAGTTTCAAATCTTTGGTTGGTTTTGTTGTCATTTGATTGGATAGAATTCTCTATTTTTCCTCCAGTTATTTGTGGCTTATTTCTTAACCGAATTTTTATTATAGCTCATGGATTTTCAATAGGATTTATGAAGACATTTCCCATTACACTTAGAACTATAGACTAATAGTTCTGCAGAGAGACCACAGGTTGATATAAAGACAAATAAGTCTGTATAGAGACCACAGGTCTGAAGAGAGAACCATATGTGTGTTTAAAGACCAAATGGTTTGTATATATATTACACATTTTTTATATTGTCGAATTGGTGTGTATAAAGACCACTGGCCTTTATAAAGACCAATTGGTATATAAACAGACCGATTGGCAGTGTATAGATACTACTGTATGCTAAGAGACCGTAGGTCTGTAAAAGGACCAATTAGTGTTTATAGAGTAAATAAGGGTTTATAAGGACCAATCGGTTGGTATAGAGATCACAGTTTTTTATAAAGACCAGTTGGTGTTTATAAAACACAGTTTTATCTATACAGGCTAATAAATCTTTATAGAGGCCTTTGGTCTCTCAGCAGACCTGTGATATCTACTATCCTATAATTGCATATGTTTGTAACAGGCGAAAGGAAACGAGATAGACATATGGTTCCTTTTGAGAATATACATAGAATCACTTTCTGAGTCGATTTAAATTGTTAATAAAGTTCAGGTCGCATTTAAAATCCGATTTGTATGAATTTGGTGCAGCTCATTTGTTTAGCCCAAGGACGAAATTGGAGAAAATCGGTTTAGATTTAGATATAGCTCCCATGTATATTTCCCTCCAAAGTCCCTCTATATCTTTCGATTTGCATGGAATTTGGCACAGCGTACTGAATTAAGTCTAGAATGATGTGTGCTTAGTTTCGTGAAAGTCGGACCAGATTTAGATATAGATATTTTACACTGATTTTATGAAAATTTTGCACTAAAGACCTAAAGTTTGAACGATTGGCACACAAATTTGTATTTGTACTGAAGTTAATATAAATTAATCTCTGGCAAGTTTCGTTAAAATCGGTTCCGATTTAGATATAGCTTCCATATTTTATTTTAGTTGGAGTTTAGGTAAATTTTGCACAACGTATCGAATTGATACTAGAATGACGTTATTGAGATTTATTGGAAATGGCGCGGATGCATACACAGCTTCCATATATATTTAAAACAGGTGTCTGATTAAGATTAAATTTTGAAGAGTCAGTTTACACAAATTTGTCTCATTGTAGGCAAACAACTCTAAACTTGCCGAATGAAATGAAATTTATCATAGGTTCCAGAAAGGCATAGAAATCATATTCAATTTCGTTCAATTTCATGTCAATTTTTTTCGAAAAGGTGGAGTCTGTTAGGAGACATATGTAGAATATACCCAAAGTGGTATAGTCGGCCCAGTCCGACTTTACTACTTTCCTTACTGGTTTGTCATTCCGTTTGTAACCGCCAAGTCCATCTGTTGAAATTACGGTTGTGCTCACAATATTGAACATAGAACATTGCACATAAATTGCTACAACTCCTAGGATTTTCAGTTTTAAAAATTGGATATATCACATTTTACGAAATTCCTTTATAACTGTAACCCTAAATTCGGTATTTGAAGCTTTGAAGTATTGTAAATATAGGTCCATGTTTTGATATAGTTCGCACAAATATATCGCCTTATTTCCAGGAGTAAACGATTTTTCCTATCGAAAAATATTGTTCCAAATTATTAATAAAATGACGTTTTTCCAGAAATTAATAATTAATATTTAAATATTCCACTTAATTTCTGGTGTGTTCAAGTTGTTGTGTAGGATAAACCAGTGGGCGGAGCAGTATAGTTAGACGTTTCAACCATATGATACCCTACACAACTACCACGAAAATTTATTTCGCGATATTTGCACCCTCTTAAACGATTATATATCAACACCTCCAATTTCTAACCTTGGCATATTTCTAAATCTTGTTTTCCCAAGGTGAATATTTACGCCATAAAATAAAAATTTGATAACTTTATTGAATTGATGATCGATCAATAAAGAGCTGTTTTATGCTTTTCGTCAAACCCCTTCAGGTGTAAAATATGTTATGTTCTGCATATAATAATGGCCTACTAGAAAATCTGACAAAAATAAAGTTTTCGGTTCATAACAAAAATAAACTTTTCGGTCCATGACTCCCCCTAAATATCATATCAACATCACCGTCCTATACCAAAACCGTAACTTCATGTAAAATTTCAATCAGAGCAACATTTCCGCCATCTAGTGATACTAAACAATATCAGAATATGCAGATTCCTGTAAATTTTTATATACAGATCCCACATGCAAGTACATACATCAATATAATTGGTATTAATTTTTTTGGTCCATTTCATCTCCTAAATATTAACGGATCATTACCAAACATACAACAATAGGGATCTTCTTTGGACAGAGCCCATCCATATGCAAAATTTCGTGACGATTGGTCCATAACTGTGGTCTGTATCGTGTTTACAAATTATAAAGGACAGACGAAAGATCGACTTAGTCGAGATATTACTTAAAAGATCGGTATACATAAAGGTGGGTCAAGGACCAATATTAAAAGGCGTTACAAACTCTTGGGGCTGCAAAAACTTAAATACCCTGACAACATACAAAGACATAGAAACCGTAAAGACTCGACAAAATGCATTTTGATAAAATAGTTTATGAAAACATATCCAGGGGGAATCAGGTATAACAGAGGCATGTTAAGAATAAAAACGCCAATACGCGAAAATGTCTGTATAAAATTGAAATAAAATCACAGGTCTGCATTCAAAATATATGTTTTCATTTTATAAGCTTAAGATATAGCACTAAAAACGTTTAATAGTGATCGCTCTGTTATTATGATATCGTAACAACAAAGGAAAAGCCATCTAACACTTTCGAAGAAGGCACGATAAACAGCAGTGGCTAAACGTGATAAGTTGGCCAGGCTTATGTTCGCAAATGCCAGTAAGGAACGGGAAATGGACGATAGTGATGCTGATGCGAAACCAGTTATGAAAAAGGTCCGGTTGGGAAGTTGAAGCCGGCGAACAAGGGCAGGTCCTTAAAGGAAGACTTGCTGGGAACTGTGCGTCGCCAGTGGGTACTTGTTTTGCCGGTAGAAAGATGAAGCCTGCGGAAAATGGCTCTAAACCCGCAACAAAATATGTTAGTGGTGGTAAGCAGAAGCAGTTAGTTACGGATGTTACGGCCAGGAAGATTGTGGCTATAAATCCTGACACTGCTGCCGAAAAAGGAAATGGCATCTGGAAAATGAAGACGCGGAGCAAACGTACGGAGCAGCTAATGGAAGATGTGGCCGGTGCAAAGATGAAGACTATGTCCAATGGTTCAGGCTGGAAGTGTCCAATGGTTCAGGCCGGAAGAAGCTGGTTTGAAAGATGGCGGTGGTACCTAGTGGCGATCACCTAGCTGTTTTTATTGTTTTATAATTGAATTTCTTGTATTTGATTTTTATATTTTGGAATAGTTTATATTTGTATATTCATTTTTTAACCCGCAAGATCGGCACAGTCCGACATTCCTAATTGGTTTAATCTATGTAATTAAATTTCCTTGTATCCACTTTACAAAGTTTTAGCAATGTAGGGTATCAAATGTTCAGATCACATCGAATAGCTCCTTTTCCTTACTCATTTCTTATTATTAATGATTCTTAAGAAAAAAATAGACGAGAAAAAAGTAAAACCACAACAAATAAATCAGCATAAATTAAGCTCAAGTATTTATTCCATCTTTTTCCATTATTTTTTCATTTGTTTTATTCAAGGAATTGCACTTTTTTATCCTTGTTTTTCTATTAAGTTGTTTGTTTACAAATCAACTTCCTTTGTGTTTTCAATTTTTCTTTTTTTCTTCTTCTTCTCTTGGCATTTTCATTAACACATTGCAAGGGTATTTCATCTAAGATATGGGTTGGAATATGAGTGTGGGTGAGACGCACAAGAAAAAGATGATATGAAATAAAAAAGAAAATAATAACGATAAAGCTAGAAGCAAAAAAACAAATGTAAACGTCTGTGTAGCGCTACAGAGCCCCTTTTTTGGAGAGTTTCTGTATGGGAAAGGAAAGTTTATAAAGGATGATAGAATATTCATATAGAGATTTTGTGTCTATATATGGCAATATATGACATATGTATCTAAAGTCCAATCAGAGGGGTTATCATGCGATGAACCCATCTTAAAATTTATGTTCTGTCGACTAAATTTGAGTACAAATGGTCTTCGCACAATGAACCTACCATAAGATTTCAAAAGAATACTCTATGCAAGACTGTGGTGTTTTTCATTAACTAAATACTGTGCCATATTTTCATTACATTTTCCATTATTGCACCATTCCTTTGTATTTTTTAGTTATTTCCATATTTTCGCACTGATCTGATAGTTCGTTCTAAACTCACCAACATTGCATAGTTGATTTGTTTATTTACATTCGCCTTGATTATCTACGATTATTTCAGCATCTTTGTTCACAATGCATGGCGAGGACATATCCGACAATCGTTATACTAGTCGTTATGTATGTTTCTTCGTTTGTTTGTTTCCTTTGTAACGTTATCTGTCACGTCCTCGTTAATCACTGTATTATGTACGCATTAAAATTTAAACGTCAAATTGCTTGAAATGACCCAAATACAACAAAGGATTCCAACAGAAGTGTTGGCAGCAATTGCGCTTGGTGTATTTCAAATTCGAACCATAAGGAATATCTAAAGAAGGCAGAGCTATAGAACATGGGAGAGCGAGACAGCGACAAGCTGCGTATTATCATAGCAAACGTTTGCTAAGCTTCTGTCTCGCCCTAATATTCCATTTCCGAGGAAATGTCAACTTGTAGGGTATGATTTAGTGTTGAATTGTCTTTAGGGGATTTAGGGCAGGCATTCAGATAAATTGTCTCCTTTAGTTTTGTTGCTTGTTGCTTTTTGTTTATTTTCTTTCCTTTTGTGTAATTTTTAATGAAATGAAATCAGATAAAATTTGTTCTATTTCTCATTTTTTGTTTGAAGTAAATTAATGAGGAGGCACAAGGATATTCATGATTATTCACACACACACACAAAATAACTATTCATCCAAATTGATAAATCGTTTTCCTGGCTTTATGTTAACAAATATTTATATGTGTAGTTTATATTTAGAAAGATTTGACTTTTATCTTTCACGCTGTGTTATCAATTATTGAGAGTGACAATATTTACAGAATATTTGTCGCACTTCAACACATAGTCAATTAACCAATTAACATAATGTGTAACGTTTTATTCGCTTAAATGCAAATTATGATAATTAAGTAAGAAAATGTTCGATTGAACTGAACTTCACTCAATACGATTCAATTTAATTAATTAAAGTCACACAATTAAATTAAATACCAATCATATTTAATTAAAACTCAATTCAAACCCATTCTTGTGTTAGGATTTTTATTAAATTCCGTCTGTCATTAAAAAGTCATTTAATAACACCGAGCCTAACTGGTCTCTTTTTAATAAATCCACACCTGCTTTGGTCCCTTAAAACCTATTTTTAATAAATCCACAAATGCTTTGGTACTTGGAAAAAAAATTTATATATTTTTAAAAATCCACGCCTATGTTGTCCCCTTGAAAATTCTTGAATTAAACAATATTTTTTTAGTCCCTTGAAAACCTACTTTACTTACTTAGCTGGTTTGTTACAGAATGGTTGTTCCATAAGCCGAGCTTAAAAAAGATTTCCAAGCGCGTCGGTTTTGTGCGCATCTCCACCAATTTGGAGGATGTTGTTTTCTACTTGGACTTTCCATCTAATTCGTGGCCTTCCCCTTCTACGGGAAGCTATGGCATTCTCATTCATTCGCATATCATTGCCAAGCCACCGTAGTCGCTGCAGCTCAATACGACTGACTATGTCGATGTCAGCGTATAAATTGTAAAGCTCGTGGTTCATTCGACGCCGATATTCACCGTCGACGCTGATCGGTCCGTAGATCTTTCGGAGAATTTTTCTTACAAACACCCCAATAGCTGCCTAATTTGTTTGCGCAAGTATCCATGCTTCAGATCCATATAACAGTTCGGTAGTATTAGCGTCTTATAGAGTGTGAGTTTGGTCTGGCGGGAGGTGGCCTTGTTTCTAAACTGATTGTCTAGACCATTGCAGCATCTGTTAGCCATCACAATCCTCCTCCGAATTTCAAAACTGATGCGATTCGTTTTATTTATGGCGGTACCAAGGTATATAAAATCTTTAACTACCTCGAAGCTGTAGTTCTCAAGTACTGGACGCCTTGCGCGTTGATAACATCAGCTTGGTCTTCTCGCCGTTTACTGCCAGACCCACTTTGGCAGACCCCTTTACAATTTGTTCAAAGGTGGCTGTACCGCTTGCAATGTTCGACCCATAATATCGATGTCATTGGCGTAGGCGAGTAACATGTGTTGTTTGGTGTACAGAGTGTCATTTATGTCCACTTTTGCGTCTCGTATGACCTTTTCCAACAGGATGTTAAAAAGATCACACGTCACCTTGTCTAAATCCTTGTGCCACTTAAAGTTATCCTGTATAGCCGTATTAATTTTGCAGGAATGCGAACGTAGACATGGCTTCAAACACCTCTGAACGGATAGGGCTGTCGAATGCGGCTTAATAGTCGACGAATAGGTGGTATGTGTCGATGTGTTTTACGTGGGCCTTTTCCAGGATTTGGCGCAGAGTGAAAATTTGGCCAATGGTGGATTGGCCAGGTCTGAAGCCGCATTGGTATGGTCCAATAATGGCATTTATCATTGGCTTCAATCGTTCACACAGCACACTGGATAGCACTTTATATGCGATGGGAAGAATTCTAATTCCTCTGTAGTTGGCACATATCGTCTTGTCTCCTTTTTTGTGCACGGGACACAGGATGCTTAGGTTCCAATCTTTGGGCATGCATTCCTCTAGTCAAATTGTACTAATCAGCTGGTGCATGCTCCTGACCAGCATCTGACCACCAGTCTTGAATACTTTGGCTGGTAACCCGTCGCCTCCTGCTGCTTTATTGTTCACACAGCACACTGGATAGCACTTTATATGCGTAACATATCGTCTTGTCTCCATTATTGTGCACGGGACACAGGATGCTTAGGTTCCAATCTTTGGGCATGCATTCCTCTAGCCAAATTGTACTAATCACATGGTGCATGCTCCTGACCAGCATCTGACCACCATTCTTGAATACTTGGGCTGATTGATTGCTATTCTGACCTCATCTTGGCTAGGTGGTATACACTCCATACCATCATCTCTTATTGGTTCTGGGGTATCTTCTTCACCGACACTATTTGATTCCAGAAGTTTTTCAAAATGCTCCTTCCAGATCCCCAAAACGCTACCTGTATCTGTCATCAGGTTTACATCTTCATCTCTACAGGAGAATGTGCCTACACTAAAGCCTTCGGTTGCCCTTTACAGATCAGTAGCATTACGACATTCCTGATCGTACCATGGGTTTCTTGGTGATGGTTTTTGGTACCCAAGTGTTGCTTTTGCTGCAGTTTGTAGGGAGTGAGCAATTCTTTGCCACTCTGCTTTTATACTATTATCAGGACAAGAATTGCTTTCGTCAAGCAGGTGGGTATGTTGAGCGGAGTAGGCCTAGGCTACCTGTTGTGTTTGCAGCTTTTCGACGTCGAGTTTCCGTGTTGTATTAGATCGCACCTTTGCTGCAACATTAAGACGGGTGCGTACCTTGGCTTCCACAAGGTAATGGTCCGAACCGATATTCCCTCCTCGGATCGATCGGACGTCTAAAACACTGGATGAATGACTTCCGTCTATCACGACATGATCAATTTGATTTCTCGTTACTTGATCAGAAGAGATCCAGGTGGCCTTGTGTATATCGAGATGCTTGAATCTGGTGCTGTTAACTACCATGTTTTTTGGTGCCGCGAAGTCAATCAACCTCATGCCGTTGTCGGATGTTTCTTCATGAAGGCTGAATTTTCCGATGGTGGGGCCAAAGCTATTTTCACTTCCGATTTTTGCATTAAAATCTCCTAGCAGAATTTTAATGTCATGGCCAGGGCAGCGATCATATGCTGTTTCTAGCCGCTCGTAAAATATGTCTGTGGTCTGTTCATATTTGTCTTTGGTCGGAGAATGGGCGCAAATAAGACTGATGTAGAAGAACTTCGCTTTTATGCGGATAATTCGCTCATCTACTGGAGTGAATCTGGAGACGAGGTCTTTTATTCTCCTGTTGACCATAAATCCGCAGCCAATTTCAGTGTCACAATTGAGATGAAAGAGGGACCGAGATAAGCCTGGACTTTGCCATGTTAAAGACAATCAGAGCCGTTGCTTGGTATCTATCATCCCCTACGCCACCCGGTC